TTTTGGGATAGCAGTTCTGACAGTGCAAGATGTTCAGTGTTCTACAGGTCAATACAAAAAGGATCTGTGTGTTTTGGGTTTTTTTGTTTGTTTGTTTTGTGGTTTTTTTTTTTTGTTGTTGTGATGTCTTCAAGTTATATGCAGAGAAGTATTTGTGCTTTAGAATGTATGCATACCTTTAAATGTGTTCCCCACTCTTAAGTGGGAATACATGGTAAGTAAATGTTTACCAATTTAAAAATACCTATGATGGCATTTCTGTGATCCTAACACACAGAGTAAAATTATTATTATAGCCCTCAAATTTGAAAATGATAACTTGGTTCTATGGAAATTGCTTTTTACATGTTCTTCTTCCTTTTTTTCAGGTCTTTGCTAATCAGTGGCCGAGATTCGAGTTCATAGTTCTGTAGCACAAAACCCAGCCTGGACTGAATCGGGCTTTTTTTAGATCTCTAATTAATTTTTTTATAAATCTAGGAATGTAATAACAGGGTTCATTTATAAGTTGATAGGTGTTACAGTTTTTGGTTCTGCTTCTTCCCATTGCAAGCACGAAACCCACGACAGTTTTCCATTTGACAGAGGGTAATTTAGAATTTCTTACAGAATACCCAGGTACATTTTTTGAGACGGGTGTTACACTGAGGCGGAATAACACTCACAACAGTTTCCAGGTAGGATGCTGAAAGTTCCAGGGATTTACAACCAGAGTACTGGGTATTTTGCTGCTGGGTGTGCCTGAAGCAGTGCAGCTGTGAGTGAATGTCGCAGCTCTCTGACAGCTGAGGTGAGTCAGTGACACCAAACCGGGGCTGCACCAATATCCCTGCTACAGCTGCTGCTACTTGGCACCCCTGATGGAGTCTCAGCAGAGAATCAAAGCACCAGGTCGCTCTCCTTGTTTGATGTGCACTGGCAAAAGTTAGCGGAAAAACTTTTTCTTTTTTTTTTTTTTTTTTTTTTCAGTTCTCTCAAAAGAAACCATTAATTCTGGTTGAGCAGAAGGTGGTAGTTTTCACGTTGGCACGTCGTCATCGTGACTTTCTGTGTATTCATACATAGAATTTGCAAGTGGAGCAAGAGTGAAAGATCAAGAGCAAGTATTATTGTATGTACATAAAAAAAGGCTGAAGCACCATCAAAGCATAATCATACATTTCTGTGAAATTACTTGAATGATTGATGTCACACCAGTGTCTGTGACAATGGAGAAAAAGTAGATGAGATAAAAGATTCTGTTTATTTTGTGGAAGCTATGTTCATGCTTTAATTTTTTCCTGTGTTTATCCCTCTCAACTCAGTAAAATAAAAATTAAATATTTTTATAAAGGACTGTAAAAACCAGAGATTAACTGGAATCTGTAGAGCCTGAAATACTTTGGGAGACTTTGAACTCTTTCTCATTCTGCTCTTTCATATAGTTGAGAAGTGTGGATGGAGTGCTGTCTAGAAGAATTACTATGCTGTGTGTCATAGTATAATATAATAAAATACTGTGTGTTATGACCTGAACAAAGGGCCCTGAACCCAACATTCTGTTTGTTTTCCAACTGTGTTATTTTCCAAGAATTCTGCAAGCTTTTGAAGTTGCTGTGCAAGAAATTCTATTAAGGCCCCAATAACACATGTAGCAGCTGAAATAACTTTCTATTCTTCATAAAATGGGCTGTATTGTCCATGTTCCCAGTCTACTTTTGAAACCTTGGATAATGTTTTCTTGTAGAATGTCAGGATTAATAAAGAGGGAGTGAGCATGTTGAATATTTTGAGAAGTTAGAGAATGCTTGTCGGTAGCAGTTGCGAATTTATCAAACAATTACCATGCTATTACCCCCATAGGGACACACCCCAAATGAGAGCTAACATGACAGGTATTTTCTGCTTTTTTACATCCTCAGACTGTAATCTCTGAAGTTGCCTTGTATTTCTGCATAGGTATCTTCAAGTCATTAAATGTTAAACCCTGCAAATTTTGTTTCTCCGTTTATAAGAGTTGTTTCTAAAATATTCTGAATATGTAAAGTGCTGTTCGAGTACCAAGTTTAAATATTTTCTCTTAAGCAAGACAACTGGATTTGGCTTGATTGTAACCTTCAAAGATTGCCTAAAATGATTACTGTGCCCTCTGGGTGGCTCATTGTCGAAAGTCCCCATTCAGTCCTGGTCTGGAATGTTTTGATATGGTCTCCCTCCTCGGGCCTTTCTGAACTATATAAGCTTGGCTGTTTTATTTGGTGCTTAGGGATGTTCCTGCTTTTTCCACTAAGCACTGCTTTTGCAATATATTAAGACAGAGAGGATAATAGATTTTTTTCACCCTGGGTAAGTATGGTCATGGAACATAAATCTTCTATTGCCCAAAGAAAACACTGGAAAAGCAAAGTGGAAGGAATTCTTCATACCTGGGTTGAACAGAAGATGTGTGGCTCTAGGAAATAAACATTTTTTTTTTTTCAACATAGTTTATTATTTAACAGTTTATCATTTATTATTTATTTGAGGTTATTCTGGAAAGTGAATTTACAGATGATGTAAATAAAAACCTGAAGGCAAAAGGAAGTTGAGGCTAAATTAAGAATTGTTAGAGAAAAATCATGTGTTTAAGAGGCAGTTTTTGTTTGAACATAGGCATAAAGAGTGGTAGGCTAGGGAAGACTTTTATTATGTTCCAATAAGTATTCTGAATGCTTGGTGGAATATTTTACTTTAAATAAATGTGTCGTGCTTATAATCTAATAGACTAGTCCTTTTCATGATTATCATTGTTGTTACTATCCTATCAAAGAAAGAGTTGATATTTGTACTTCCTTTCATAAGGCAATGAATCTTTCCTAGCTGTGTACTTGGCTTGATTAATTGGGATAGCCAAGATGCTTAAAATTGTGTCTTCTGTTCCACAGAGAAACAGGAATTCAGAGAACTGACCTGAACGTTGCGATACAGTCATTATAAACTCATGAAAAGCATCCGGTTTTAGTAAGGACTTACATTCACCAAGATGCCCATATCCACTATTGGTGAACACAGTGCAGTGTACAACAAAACACCTTATATACAGAAGCTGTAATTTCACACAGCTGACATCAAAATGTCAGCCTTAATTATTTTTCAGTCTCCAAAACATTTGCAAACTCCAAAGCATTTTCCAGCTGAAGCATCTCTCTCCACCAAAGAGGAAATTTCAACTTGCTTCAAATATTCTTCTTTTTTAATTAAGTTTTTCTAATCACAAAGGCCACAGATCAAAAGCTTTCCCAAACATCTTAGTTAATCCACATACTTGTGACTATTTTAAAGAGATGTAATAAAATGTCTAGCAATAAATAAATATTGTTCAGAATAATTTTTCAGTTGTGTTGGTAACACAGTAGAGCACTAGTTCAGAGCTGCTGACATGGATTACTGTCTGCTGGGGAACCAGACAATGGCAATTTACCTTTTTTCCTAGGTCTCGTTTATTTTCATGTCCCACAGATGGAATTTTAAAGCTCATTCATTTGCATGAGCCATAAAGTTAGAAACGCTGCCCAGTTGGAAAAAGTGCTGCAGATTTTCAGGAAAATTCCTCTCATTATATCGAGGGGAAATACAATCTCAAAACTATGACTATACAGCTTAAATTGGTTTAAATATGTTAAGTGGATCATTGTGCTTTTCAGGAACTGTCAGTTCTTACTAAGATGAGGAGTTGTATTCAGTTACGTGCTGGAGAGTAATCAATTCAAAATTATGTGTGTGATCATGATATCCCTCATGGAATTTGTTCATTCACACTGTTTCCTGGGTTTTGTGCTACGTTCAATAAGTGGATTGTTCTGCTCTAACGAGGAGAAAGTTGTGAGGCTGAGTGTTCTTCCATATGGTTGGACTTACAATGTCTTCCTTTTAAAGGAGCTGTTTCTCTCCACTGGAAGCAGTGTCTTCTTGGTAGAGACAAAAATATGTTGTATTTTGTAGGTACTGCTTAAAAATGCAGCAACATGTTGGCTAATCTTTTCAAATCTAATTCATTGAGATTTTGAGAGACAGGTAAAATAAATTACGTAATTTTAAGTCGCCTTATATGCAAGCAAAAATCAAAAGTCCAGGTTTAGACATTGAAGAAATCATTGGACACCTCAGAGATGATGGAACCACAGAATATCCTGAGTTGGAAGGTACCCACAAGGATCATCAAAGTCCAGGTCCTGGCCCTGCACAGGACCAGCCCCAGGAGTCACACCGTGTGCCTGAGGGCAGGGTCCAAATGCTTGTTGAACTCTGTCAGGCTTGGTGTGCTCTGTGACTGCTTCCCTGGGAAGGCTGTTCCAGTGCCCAGCCACCCTCAGTGCAGTTGGACACTGGAACACGTGGGGAAGAAGATTTGTCATCTTCTCCCTTGCCATCCCCAGTGATTAGGTGCCCTAATCCAAACTACACTGAAGCGTTTTTACCTGCTTGTGATCCAGTGCACCTCATTTGCCCATCTGTTTTTAAAATGGTAAATACCACTAAGAAGGTGTTTGTGGCAGGACAGGAACTTGGGGTGTTTTTTTTCCTGGTAGGTACGTATTAACCACAAGGTTGTGCAGTTTTGCTCCATCCTATCTGCTTCTCTAGGTCCAGGATCTATTCCTTCCCTTTTTGCACTTCGTCCTCACTTGACTGAGGGCCTTGCTTAGCGGGGAAGGTGCCTTGGTGGTCAGGGCGTTGCTGCTGAAAGGTGTCCTTTGAGTTCCTGCATACTGAAAAAAATTAAATCTTAGTCAGGTTTCCATTTTTTTGAGATCAAGCAGGAAGGGAGTAAAGAATTAAATAAACTGTAAGTAGTCACTGAGGGGTGGTTTGGAGCAGTTTTCAATGTTGACATATGAAAAGTACATGAACTATTACTTTGAGAATAGCCCTATTGCTTCTGAGGCAAGTTGAGTGCTATCATCTAATTCCTGCTATTTAAGGGGGAGAGACTGTGTTGTTATAATTAAAATTAAGGCTATTTATTTGTTACTTTCTTACAGAAAACAGATCCAACCTCTTCTAGGACGGTTCAGCGAGGCAGAGGCTTTGTTAATCTCATCTGGGGTTGAGCCAGGGACTCTGGATGGAGTTCTGCTGGATGCTGGCTGTTCTTCCATGCAATTTGATACACCTGAAAGAGGCTTTTCCCTGCAGAAGGATGGACCTTTGGACATGAGGATGGATAGTGACAGGTACCTGAGAATACAATATTTCTTCCTGGAACTCAAAAACTGTCTGCTCAGAAACCCCTGTGAGTTTCATTTCCCCTTAAACTGAAGAATTCTCATCATCAAACCACATCTAATTTTGCACAAGTATACTTTCTTTCTGTTGCCAAAAAGCTTTTTTCCATCTCAGTGCTCAGCCCTGGTTATCATCTTTGCCTGCTTTGAAATAAGAGGAAGGTTCCCATGATGAGTAATTAATGAGTAACGTTTTTGTTAACTGTACCATTGAATTTTAACGTTTTTGGAGTGTGTGGTATACAGTCACAGGGACATCTCCCTTGCAGAGGCCTGTTATTTCCACCATTTCTCAGCCTGTACTTGATCTGCAGGCTCACAACTTCTTACTGGAGTCCCTTTCCTTTTTTTGCCACAGTTTGTGGAAACTTCACTTGAGCAGTTTCAGTTGCTTCCTCAGGAAAGAGGCAGCGTCCTTCTTTTGTGCAGTGACCACCTGACCCAGTCGCTTCTCTCTAAAAGGAATGTAATATAAAATAAATAAATAAAATCCTATCTGTTATATCTGCCGTTTTAAATCAGATTGCTACATTGCTTTTAACACACTACTATAATGTTGTCTTCCATGCCCACAGATTTGTTGTAAGCTTCCCTTAGCAAAATCATGAGCTTCCTTTCACCTCGTGTAGGAGGCACATCAGGTTTTCTTAATTGCCAAATTAACGATTACCTAATTCTTTAATTTACTTATTACTTGTAATAAGTAAATAATTACTTGTGTTTAAATTATTTGGATTGGTGTTTAGTACTTTCAGGAGCATGAAAATCAGTGATGGTGATGGAATGATAATTCCTACTTATGCAGTGGTTGTCGTCTTCAAGCAACCTGATGTATTTCTGAAGCATTTTGCTTTTTTACATGAGCAACCAAACGTCTCCCTTGTATAGATGATGGCTGTTATGGCGTGATGCAATACTGGGAGAATGATAGGGTTTTTTTCTTGGTGTTTTGATGGACCTGGAGTCTTAAAAAATGCCATTTGCTTTTTCATTGCTCACAGAGAGCCAATGGGAAGCCTCAGTTTCTAAGGAATCAGCTTACCACATCAATGCTACGACTCAACACAGCAAATTTCACGATACTTGCTTTTTCTGGTTTTGTGCGAAATGCTCCCGTGATCCTCCTGGGCTTCAGTCCTCAGATTTCAAGAGTCTGAACTCCAGGCTTAAATATAAACCTGATGCATCATGAGAAAACATACACTGAACAAGAGCATGAGAAAAAAGGATACCTGAGACATAACAAAAGCCTTGCACTATGGTTGTTGCTATGATACTACTCGCCTCTAAGTTTTGTTATCTTTTGTAAGATGCTGCAGGGGAGTAAAATATGCCAGAAAAATTGTCTACTAATTAATGCCTTTTTAGAAGAGAATTTATTAAGTAGTTTGTATGTTTTCTCTGATCAGTAAACCCATAGATAATGTTCATAAAATACCTACTTCAATAGCAAAGTTAAAGAGATTTCAATGTATAGATGTGAGGATTATACTGTTTAAATTGCAGTAATTCCTGTCATTTGTATTAGGTAATTTCTATTACAACAGTATGTGGATATAAATTCTTATGCCTTTTAGTGAAAAGTAAGATCTAATTATTTTCATTAGCAGTTGTTTTCATGGCAGGAGATGTGAAAGAAAAGATTCCAGTTCTGACTGGAAAACAGCATAGGATGCAAGGTGACTAAAATGGACCCAGAAGGGGCAAGTTTAAATTCTAAAGCTGGCTGAAGAAAAAGGTCACAAAGCATAGTTTATGATAATACTTAGAAGTTAAAGCTATTCTAATTGAAGTTAAGGGACAAACTCCACGTAGAGCGGCAAGGAAAAGGATTTAAAAGGTGCAAGCTGTTTTCACAGGTTTGCCATTTGAAAAAAACCTCAAAAGGCGCTTGTACGCGGCGCGTGTTTGACTTGATGTCTCAGTGCTGTGAGGCTTCACCCCTTGTCAATGAGAGCTGACGTCAGCGCACTAATTGGCTGCCCCCGTGCGTAGGTGCCCTGCCGTGCCCACCGCCGCCGACGTGGTGAACGCTCTGGATCAACAGGCGCTCGCGTCCATCCTCAGGGCCTACGGGGAGGAGAGGCACGCCAAGAAAATCGCCTCGGCCATCGTCCAGGCGCGCAGCGTGTACCCCATCACCAGGACTCAGCAGCTTGCGGGCATCGTGGCAGGTACCCCCTCGTTAATTAAAAAAAAAAAAAAAAGAAATAATAATCCCCCAGGTCCCAGAGGGATCTATTTGTACTTGAAATCATGCAGGATCTAATCCTGCCTGTTCTGCTCTGATGTCAGCTCCCTTCTTCTTTTTTTTTTTTGTATTGTAGTTTGACAATTAGTTTAATAATAGATTTTACATGAAGCGATTTATCATTTTGCCAACGAAGTTGAACCGCAGAATGACAGCAGCCTAGGGTATTCTCGATCCTGGCTGTTGATAAACCCTCAAATATCAGATGTGTCATACCAGTTTCAGCTATAAATTTCTGCATTGTAATATTTCGAGGGGAGGTACCAAGGCAGTTTCCAATGATGAGTGAAATCAAGTGATTTCTGTCTATTTAAGGGATCAGAATGCACAAAGCAAAGCAATACATGGCTTGCTTCACCTTGTGCATGCCAACTAGATCAGCCTGAAGCGACTATTGAAACACTCCATCTTACTTGCTCCTCACTGTAAACAATTTGAACAAAATGCAGTTAGGCAGGAACAGTACTTACATCAAGAACCCTCACGTTTGTGTTCTCAAGTGAAAATTTTCAAGGAAGAATATAAGGCACAAATCCTGTTCATTAACACTCCAGTGAGTAATGTCAGGATGCTTTTATTTTTTTAACCAACTAATGAGAATTACTGGATCTCATCACAAACAAGTCTTAACTGCTGACTTTGAATGGAGGCCTTCACAATGATAATCCAAATTTAACATTTGCTAAAGAACAGTGTAAAATATGAGTATCCTCAAGAGTCCTAAAAAATTTACTGTATTCTTAAAAATTAGTATTACTTAAACTGGAAGTTAAAGGCACTTACTTTCAATGACCAACAAATTAAAATGTTTGGATTTGTAGAAGTCAGGATAATTAAAAAAAATGTCCAGTCAACTGAGTCCCAAAGTTTAGCTGATGTGATAAAAGAACCCAAAGACACCGCTTGCTGTCGTAAGCCCCTGCTGTAAATACAGTAAATATGAGGAGCAAGCAATTTTAAAAAAAATCAAAGAGATAAAACACTGTGAGTCTTTTATAAAACTTACATTTTTAATATCATCATTATCAACATCATAAAACAGTAATTTCAGGCTCTATCATATGTACCTCAAGCTTTTTGAGAAGCTCTTGATTAAGACAGCGTGCCACTATTGAGGCTGAAGCAACCACATCGCTGTGTTATAGATGTTGTAAACAAGCAACTCAGTAACTTCTGAAACTAGTGTATATAAAAGACAGTGATTGAAGATCCCTTCATGTTTAATGTGCTGCATGTGAGTCATCACTTAATGGTCACTTTCTGTGACAATGAGAAGGATTTTTTTGTCCTCATTTGAAATTCTCTGCTATATTTGAAGAGCTTCCTGATCCATTAGTCACATATGCATCAGGGAGTGTACATGCCAGAAACAATGAATCCAGCACACATCTGCCAAGACAATAAATATGTATGTTTTGTCTGCCTTTTTTTGGAGTATGCAAGTCGTTATAGTAATTTTAGGGCTGTTACACTGATCCCTGTTGGCACAGAACTTCTTCCAGTTTTAGTTTGGTTCATCCAGAGAAGGAGAACCATGGTGGTTGTATCTGGTTTTGAACTGATTATACCTTAACAAAATTTTTGGTAACTGTAATGTATTTTGATTCATTTCTTCTATCATCCATATATATTCTTATGTGAAATAATAACAGTTAAGTTATTGACATAAACAAGAGCTAAAGTGCCAGAGACCAAGCTACAAGAACCTCTTCATGGCAAAGCCCAAAAAAAATCCTGACTAATTCAGGCCTTTACCAGAATAAAATCTATGACCTATTAGTTAAATGTCATGTCCTTTAAAAAATAAAATATTAATTAGAATAATAAAATCTTGCATTTTAGATTTTGCAGATTCTATACAAGCCTGATTGTCTTCCAGAACAGGGTCATTATTTTTGTCTATATAGGAACCAGAAAACAAGCAAAAAAATCTATCCAGTGAAGCTGGCCATTTATGTCTTTTTCTCTGCTGGTGTCAGAATCTGAGATTTATGTATTGTCCATAGTTCTTTCACATGTTATTGATTGCTGTGGCTTCAGATTTTCTAGAGCTCTCCAGTTTTTTCTTGAGGTCCAGCTAATAACCAGAATCACAGTGAATCTAGATTTGGACTAATCTGAAATTGCAAAATTTAATTTTTTTTCATAGAATTCTAGACTTTTGTGGTCTTTCCTTCCAGCCCCCAGAAGGTTAGAACATGTATTGCTGTTGCTAATTGATTGGGAGATAAAAGTGAAGGATGCAATTAAAAAAAAAACCAAAACAAAACACAAACACAAAACAGCCATGCAAAACAGTTGCACAGCATTCACAGAGCAGTCAGATCCTTCTAAAGTTTGCATTAGCAAGAGTTCTGCTTGTAAGGTATAGCTGTGAAAAATATATAAATAGATTTGTGTGTCAAGATTGACCACAACAATTTGGGGCTAAAATGCAGGTATCCAAGTGATTTCTCGCTCTCCTTTTTTTCAGTTCAAGAAAGTAATTCTTCCTATATCTTGGCATAGCACCTGAAAATTCTCTCTCTATCCACATCCTATGCCAATGCATAAGGACCTGAAACAATTAATTAAAAATTTGGCTTTTTTTTTTTTTTTATTAATTTTTCTAAATGTTCTCCAAAAGGCTGCTGATCCATTTAAATAAGATCTCTGCGAGCTGTGGAGTCTGCAGTTCACACGTGAGAAAGGAGGAGTTTCCTGTTCAGCCATGTGAGCAGCATCTCTCCTGCAGCACAGTGGAGCTCCGCTGGCCGTTTGTAATTTCCACAAAGCCATCTGCAGTGCTGAACGCTCTGTAAATACTAAAGATCAGGAGTTCTCCCCTGAAGGGCAGCGAATCCATGTGTGGAAGTTGATTATGAAGGGCTTGCTGAGGTCTTCTGTTGCACCTCACTGAGTTATTTGAAAACAATAGGTTTAACTCCATCTGCAGAAAAACTTTAAAAATAGGAACATTTTTAGAATGTAGTTTTGATGTGCTTTTCCCGTACAGCTGATGATCTGTTTTGATTTCTTTTCAGTGGGCAGTATACCTTGTTATCTATTAATTTTTGTCCAAAATTTAATTTTTCTGAGCATTATTTAGGTGCATAATCTGTCAACAGATCACTTTGAGATCATGCCATCGTTCGGCCTTAGCTTGAAAGGAATTCACGATGAGATAGTAAACAAATTTGAAAAGTTTAAAAAGAACTTTAAAGTCAGTCTTATTCAGACTGGTTCACATTTTTAGACTTTAATTAATCAGTTTGGAATGTGTAATACTGCCTGAATTTCAGATGGGTGAGAATTAACACCGTACTGAGGGAGCCCAGACAAAAGGACATTGGTTGCGTCACAGAAACTTATTAAATGCAATGCTAATTCAACAGACGAATTCCTGCAAACAGGTGCACGATCTGAATTAATTTTTAAACTCTCCCACTCTCACACACTCTGGGGACTTTAATAGTTCATATTGACAGGCCCAGCACGTTGCTAATTTCATTCACAAGCTTTTAAAATTTCAGTGCATTTCAACTTGTGAATCTATTAGATTTTTAAAAAGTGGAAGTATCATCAGGGCATCCTAAAACTAAAAATGATAATTTCTCTCACTGGGATTTCAAGCCAGTCATCTAGCCAGAAGCGTGGTGTTTTTATGAATGAAGTTCATTTTACAAGCTTCCCATACAGATTTTTTTTTGTGTGTGTTTTTGTACATTGTACAGCCAGTTACCAGGAGGGATTTTCTTTTAGTGTCTCGGTGATTGGAGGGGTCTGGGTGACAGATATTATGCCTTAGCAGAAAGCACAAATAGGGGGTTTTTTGACTATACCAGAGGAGTAAAAGTGAGAGGGAAATTTTTCACCCATGGAACATAGGTCAAAATCTACTACCTTTACTCAAAAGATGAAGGCCAGAGTGACAGGAACAACTACCACAGATTACATTTATTAGTTAATCCCAGTCTCTGACGACAGACCAGTAAGTCTTTGAACTTGTAAATAGTTTGATTTTGTTTTTAGTTGGAAGGATTTTTTTGCACAAAGCTGCAAAGTGACTGCATTTCTTTACCAACTTCCTGAATATGACCTGCAGTCACAAATATGACCTGCAGTGCTCTTTGTGCATGTTCAGCTGAGGCATGTAAGGTTGTGTGATACTTACTGAATATATCTGGGGTTTAATTTATTTTTTTTTTCAGTGTGTGATAAGTTAACTCACAGTAATAAATTAATGTTGCAGTTAATTGTGGTAGAAGTTTATTACAGGAATACAGTGCACTCAACAGCCACGGCAGGATAAGTGGAGAAGAACCTTCCAAAGACCTGTTAGTGTCCTAGTTGTGCTGGTAACCTCAGTATTGTTGTTCTTTTGTTAATCTATTCAACGTTTCAATTGCAAAATAGTGATGTTTATGATCAGACTGATGGATGTTTTCCAGATGAGTAAAAGATGCTTTGCTGACATAGGAGGTAAAACTCTCAGTGTTTTACTAAAATTCCTGAGAGATTGACTGTGGAGATATTAAACAGAGGATCTCATTCTAGGTTTCCGTTTTTATGGTTAGGTCCCAGTCAAGAAGCACTGGTCAGTTTTGTACCTAAATTACATGCTGTTCTCTTGTGGGTCAGCTCCATTTTTATCTGTGATACTTCTGGAAGCTAAAATACTCTTAGAATATCAGAAATGGATCATCCCCAGAAAACCAGCAGTATTTTTAGAAAATACTTGCTGCTAAAATATGGTGGTTAAAAATTCTGGATCTTCTTTGAGAGATGAACACCAGCTCTGGGTGGTATCAGTCTGAAACCGAATGTATAAAACTGATGCTCTTCAAATCACAGCTGTAAATTCTTCACTTTCTGTGATTTTGGGTTCTCTTTTGAGTTTAGCTCTCTTGTCGAAATGGGCTTTGTGACTCCTACAAGGAGAGTATATATTCATTTTGTGATTTGTAGTAAATATAGAAGGTTATGTTCTCAAAGATAGAAATTGTATTAACTAGCTAGTGCAACTTTTCCAGCGTTTGTAAATGATGGAGAAGCCTATCTCCCACAGGTGACATCTGTTTTGTGAAACAGTTTAAAGTCACAAATTCCCATGCAGTAGTTTGTTGGGAGAAGTTGAGCCTGTTGCCACTTTCTCTCTCAAAGGATTCAGACTATAAGAGTAGGAAGCAGCCACAGCTACATTTCAGTGAATTTAGGAGCTGTTAGTATTGAAGTCAGAGGGGGCTGGGAATGTAGTTTGGAAAATCAAGTATGCAGAAACATATCTTAAATCCATTGCCTGCATGATAACAACTTTGTTAATGATTGAACTTTTAAATCCCATTATTATCCTGTCCCTTTGCTGAGCACTAAGATCACTTGTGTGTTTGTGATACCAAACACTTGTGCCTTCTGACATCAGTAAAACCTTACCTTTAAAACCAAATAAATTAAACTAAAACTAATAAATTACTTTGTGCCAACATATTGGATTAGGATATCTCTATTCATTTTTTTCAATCACCTGTGTAAATGTGAATTTAGACAACTAGTTGCAGAGGTGCAGTGTTCCCTTCTTTTACTCCACCATGTAGAATATCAATTACTTGATTTTGAACTGCATTTACTTGCTTCACTATGTTGTAGCTTGGCACTGACATGAAATTTAATACATATATATATACCAGCTGCATTGCCTTGTCTTTAATGGGCCCTTTTGTTTGGAAAAATAATTCTTTCAGTTATGTACTAGCGTTGTTCATTCAGTTTATCTTTATCAGACTCCTGTGCTCACTTACATAATAGATTACAAATTTACTCAGCTTTCGCAGGTCTTGTAAGATTCTTGCACTTTAATGCCTCTGATCTATCAAATCAGGTTTCTCAGGTTTTGCTCTGCATTCCTGTAATGAAAGCTCAAGCCTAAAATATATTGAATATTGGTATATTAAAGTTTCTAATAAAATTTCAGTCTCTACAGAGACTTGTTTAACTCATAAGAGTTTTGGGGAAAGGAAGACAGAGTTTTGTGCATCTGATAAAAAATATTTAATCTGGTGATTTTTCATCTGGCAAATCCATACCTTGACATATTCTGCTCAATAGGCATGTGAAAATGCAACAGGATCAGCTGCATTTGCTAAAGTTCTCAAGGTATTTTTGTGAACATTTGAACAAACACAGGAGTAGTAGTCAACAATTATTATTCCCAAGCAAGGATACTTCTTTTAGCTTAAAGTAATTCATTATCACCAGGTAGACATTGTCTTCACTTATCTCTGCCTTTGGAGAAATGCATGATTATCTAGAAGGCAACAGTTAAAATTGAGTCCATCATGTATTAATTTTTTTTTCCTTAAAAGCGTGACATAACCACAAATGCTGAACTGACATTGATTGCACTGAGCTGCAAGGTGAGACTTACCTAACCCATCTTGTTTTTTCCTTATCTTAGTTTCAGCCAAGTTGTGACTGCATTTGGAGAAGCAACTTGTATGAAAGATTCTAGGGAAAAAAACCAACACTTAACCATAAGCCAGCATATTTTAATGGGGTTTGCATTCAGAGATGTGAGTTCTAAGTAGAAAACAAATGCATATCACAAAGAAGGGAGCTCACCGCTCAGAGTTCTGTTTAAAGTGTGCTTTTCTTTCGAGTCATCGTGCATGAGTGGATTAATGTGTCAAGTGCGTTAATGTCAAGATGTAGAAATACTAAGATACTGACATCTACCTTTTAAAATTTATGGCAGGTGCTTTTCCTCCATCAGCCCTGTATGCACGGAAGGATTTGCTTCAGAGACCTGCCCATGTTGCTACCAAAACTTTCCAAGGCCTGCGAATATTTGTCAATGATGAGCTCCATGAGCTCTTCATAGGACTGAAGACAGCTGAGAAGTTTCTAAAACCCGGAGGTCGCCTTGTAGCCCTCTCCTTTCATTCACTAGAAGATCGTATTGTCAAACGTTTTCTTCACGGGATAGACATGGCAGAAAAGTACAATCTCAGCTCAAGGCAGAAGATAAGACAGGCTCTGAAAAACTCCTCCAAAAAAGAAGATGCACAAGAATCTCCCCATGGAAAATCCAGCTCCAGGTGGATTTTTATACAGAAAAAAGTTCTCACACCCCAGTCCAAGGATATTGAAACAAACCCAAGAGGAAGGTCGGCCAAGCTAAGAGCTGCTATTAAAATCTAAAACAAAATATATGATTAGATAATTGTATAATTTCCTTTAATTTTGTTTTCCAGAAGGCTACCTGGACAGGTAGTATCAAACTGAAAAAATAAAATGAAGGCTGTTAGAAAACATTTCTTTCATACCTTTGTGTTCTTTTTCATTAGGATGTAGTATAGAGCATCAAAACACAAAATAAATGAATATAAGTGGGTGTCACTAATTATAAAAAAAATAAACATGTTTTTTCAAAAGAGCATCAAACATAAAGTTTGTAAAAATTTTAGGTTTGATGTATTTGTAATATTTCCTTTAGGTTACATTCAAACCCCCAACATTAACTGTCTAAATTCAGTAGCTGATTGAGACGGACACATTTTTGTGGGGGTGGGTTTCACACACCTAATTCAGATGTCTGGTTCAGTCTAGAGTAAGTTTAAAGTAAGCTAAGAATTCATGATAAATGTGTCTCTGTATCCTAACTGACTTGTTGCATGAATGCCTATGGGACAAGAGCTAGTTCCGAAATAAGGTGACATCAGGATGTCATTTTCTATCCAGGAATTTGTAAATGGGCTTTTCTGAGTTTAATGATTAAGAATTATCTTGGGGGGAAAAAAAAAAGATACTTAGAAGACCACTGTTGGACACTACAATCAAGCAGTCAAATTTGATCATCTGAATTTCTTCCTGTAACCATTACTTCTGTGCATAGATCCAGTACAACTTTTAGGTGCTGATAGAATTATAACTAACTTATCAAAAAAAGGGGGTTATTGTGGGTCTTATGAAGTATTCTTCTTTGCTGTTGATCATTTATTAAGAGGTTCTATTTAGGTAAGTATCGAATTATTTTTGCAAAGGTTCACTCTAACACCAAGCTTTCAACTTGAGTGCTATACCAGGCAGTAGAACATGTAACATAATTTCTTTTTTAGTGAGTTAATATAAATTAAATTTAGCTTTGGGTTTATATTTTCTTATAAGACCATTGGTTTGCTAGTTTTATATGCTAAAAAATAAATGGAAAACAGTATACGTTTCAAATTCTTTGACCTCTGACTCCTTCAGGAAAACATCTTAATTTGAATAATCAAATTGGTACCAGGATTTCATTTGTGGTGAGTCTGAAACTTGGTTGGTAGAACAAAAAAGTGCAATTTCTGACTCAGCTAAATGACTACTACACCAGCTTCTGAAAGATAACTGACTGGATCATTTTGGGCTTGATTTTCATCAAGCATCCTCTTTATGTCGGTGTAAATTGTTACTTCATGGGAGTTTTTTGGGTCAGATTGACACAAACAAGTTGAAATTTAGGTTCACTGTCTGTGATAGGCAATATATTGAAATAGGTGAGTATTGTTTAATTCCTTGGTAAAGCTAAGTCATGTAATGTATTCTCAGGTATAGCTGATAACATAATCTGAAATAGAAGTCAAATGATGATGGGCATTTCATACCCTCCTGAAATTTCAATATTTTCCCACTAGCTTCATTATACATGCTATTAAATATTAAATAAAACATTCCACTTCAAATAATATTACTTACTGTTGTCATCTTTGAGACAACAGCCTGTACCCTAAATAGACATTTTTTTCATCCAAACATTAAATGTAAATAGCTAACGCTATTTTTAGCTAGGATTTCATACTGAGGTGTATTTCAATTGTAGATTTGAAAAATTGTGCCTCCAGCAGAGGCTAAGAAGAGTTGTAGTGCCGTGCTGTGCATTGTTCAGGAACACACTTTGGGAAAAGACCATCCAGTTGTAGCAGAAGTTCAGTATTGGTATCTCAGACATTATATGAAAGTATTTAAACTCCTTATGCTTGAAACAATGTTTAAAACCCACGCTTCTCGCATCTAAACTCAAAAGCACGCTTTCTTATGATAACTGAACCACTGTATTGCCAGGCTGTGTAAATACACTCCCTGAGTTAGGGAAAAGTAAGAGGCTTTGCTTTGCCTTTAGGTTGGAGTTGCACAGCCATGGCAGTGTATCCTTTGTTGAGCTTTTCTCTTTAGAGGGTCTCTTTCTCTCCTCTCAGCTTCTCCTCACCTTCAGCTTTAAACCTGAGGGATGGAGAGTCCTGGAATTTTAACCTCTCCTTGCCTGAGAAAAAAACCAAACATATGGTTTCCCAGAGAAACCTCTGGTTGTGCTTGGTCAAAGTATTCTTTTATCTTTAAACATTTCATTTCATTTCATTAAAAAAGAGGGACATTTTACACAGGCATGCAGTGATAGGACAAGGGGGATGTTAGGAATTCTTTACTCAGAGGCTCTGGAACAGGTTGCCCAGAGAGTTGTGGATGCCCCACCCCTGGAAGTGTTCAAGACCAGTTTGGGTGGTGCTTGGAGCAGCCTGGTCTAGTGGAAGGTGTCCCTGCCCATGGCATGGTGTTTGAGAATAATTCCAACCCCAATCCTTCTGTGATTCTGTGATTTAGTGATCACATTGTGTTATGTGAAGGGTGTTAGGTCTTTATCTTCTTACCTGGACACGTGTCTGCATAGTAGGCATCTTAAATTTTCCTAATGTGATACATGTGAAAGGTTACTAAAACTAAACATTTTTTTTCCATGATAAAAAACTATATTTATGAAAGAAGTAGTGGAAAAAAAAAAAACTGGTGGAAAATTACTCGTTGGAAACCAAATTGTGCTGTCAAGGCACAGGTTGCATATAATTCCTGAAAACTTCCATTCGACCTGAGCAATGTACATTTTAATCCAGCCAAATGCAAGATTATCTGTAAAGAAAAGGGGAAAAAAAAAGATTTTAGACCATGTTTGCAGGGAATTTGGCAATAATATGGTTCTGTACACAATGGGATGAATAGAAATATCCAATATGTGGAATAATTGTAGAGAATCAAGAGGTAATAATGGCGAGGCAGTGGTGTTGCCAAACAATATGTGCATGAGGGCGTGTTGCTAAAGAGGGTATCTCTTCATGTTACTAGCTTAGAAGGGTGTGGGAAAATTTTAAGAAGGATAAGAACCCCAGCTATAAGACTATTTGTATGCATTGTAAACATACTTTCTATTGAAATTACTAGGATTTAATTAGTTAATCCAAGTGAAGTAAAAAGCTGATATACTGTCAGAAGTAACCGCCTGGTAAAAAGATTTGCATAGAATAATTATTTGAAAATTACACACACTTATCCTGTGAGTAAAGTATTTATAGTAAAAATAAAGTACTTTTTTAGAACATAATTTTACAGTTTAGGCACAATTATCTGCATTTATAGCCCACGAGGACCTAGAGACAATTATTACTTCCCTATTGCTTCCTGAAGAAAAAGAATGTTTCATTGTTTCAGAGTGCAAGTAATATAAGGAATTAATATCTCTTTCAGTTTTGGTTTGCTGTTGTGGGGTTTTTTTTAAGACTTTTACAGTTAAGTATTTTATTAGTAGTCTTTTATAGCCACAGATGCTGAGATTGGCACTTGACTTGGAAAAAAAAAAAAAATCCCAGTCTGAAACATCAGTCTTTGTAAAGATGTGTGGAGGTATTTATTTGATGATGGAAGCTGGAAGGAGGGGATTCCTAACAGGGAAAATGCTGACTTCAGGGAACAGCAGGAGCAAGTGGCTCTTCTAGCAGCAAGTGTTGTGTCAGATGTTTTGCATTCTGCTTTCTAGAGCAGCATTTCTATGATTATAAATGATTCATATAATTGCTCTAATGTTATTTTTTTTTGTGCTGGAGAAGACACGGTTTTAATTGGGGAGTTTATGCTCCTAAACAGTGTGAACAGCACAGTGAGAGGAGCTCTGCCCTCAGGAAAGGTGATGTGCAGGGGTGGGATGATTTCAATAAGCAGTCTCAGACGCAGATTGTTGATGATTTGATTAAATTTTAAAATAACTTGGTTGTTTTAAATAATAATCGGCCGTGACTCACTGTTTTGAGTATCACTGCACAAAAGCACTGGTGAAAAATGAGACAAATGTGAATAAACAAAGAAGTAATGAACTCGTAAGTTAATTTATTGCTGCCCATCTTACTTAACATCTTTACCTCTAGCAAGAGTAGGCAAGGGGTTCAGACCTGATTTTTTTATACCTCAAAATTTCTCCAGAAAAAGCCCTTCAGTGTGTTTAGGACCATTTATGCCAGGATTACAAACAGCGTTCAGCGGAGAATGGGAGTCAGTCTTTATATCCATGCATTTATTTTTTCATAAAGCACTTGCTTAAAACTAATCTGGAAGTTAGAAAAATATGAGGTTATATTTATAAGTCTCTCAGAAATATAATCAAATGGGGAGGCCTTTTTACACTGGAGTTATACTGGAATTAAAGCAGGCTTTTGTGGATTAATTAAGAGTGCAGTGCTACAGTGAATCTTTCAAATAATTTAAATTAATGTAGAGCAACTTCTTAGCCTCTTACCTTCCTCAGCCTCTGTAGAAGATAGAAGAGAAAAATATGTTTAATTAAAGGGTAAGAAATAAGCAGTAAAGTTGAGCAGTTAGGAAAGAAATGTAATTTACAGGCAAATATTTGTTCATGGGAAATCAAAGCTAAAAAACAGAGCAAGTGGTCAGCTGCCTGAATCTCTCGCTGCGCCAACGTAGCTGTATTTATAAAAACTAAAACTTTTTCATTGTACCTTTACCTTTAGGCAAATCATATTCTCCCTGTTGCTTTTACAAGCCTAATTTGATTGATTGCAGTGGCGAAAAGCAGGCTGGAGGGTTTTTTAAATTTATTTGTATGATTGCAAATTTAAAACCTGACAGCTTGTTTATAGGTGTCTCCTTTAAAGAGGAAAACTGGAGATACAGCTCCCTCTGTCTGTCCTGGGAGTGCCTCTGCTCTGGTCTCTGGAGTGCACCTGCAAACGATCATAGGAACGAAGACACAAGGTAAAAACATGTGATTAATTTGTTTTACAGGTCAGTAGTTGTTTTAAATTAGGCTAACTGGGATTTTAAAAGAACCAAGGAGAAATCATGTTCTCGTCTGAAAATCCTTCAGTGAAGATACCTAATTCAAAAGGCAGAGAAACAAACTTGCTCGGTAGGTTTCTCAAACATAGAATTATTATTACAATAAAATAGAGATGTATAAAAATTCTAGCTATTCTTTAGTGCACATGCAGTTTAAC